AAGGAACTAGGCTGCGGTTTGAAGACCATGGATAATACGAACAGGCTACACCGAAACGGACTGCGCATGCGTTACGCTCAAACGCAGCTCCGACATCTGCTATGAGGTTGCCACTCGACTCTTCTCTTCCATTATCAGATTAATGCTAGAGTACGGCTCGCCCACCTATTGCCCGACCACGCGAGGCGAGACGCAGATCGAACTGGTAAAAGAGGTCGCCACCAAGCCCATCTAGTTTACGAGGCTTATCGTAAGAGGACGAGTGCGAGACGCCGGGTATATACACACGGGCCTATCGTCGGTTACGAGTCGACGTTATCATGATTTAGTGCAGCTTACATCTGGGTGGCCTCCCCACGCTGAGGTCACTGCTCCACTTGCGAACATTTTGAAGCAAATGCAGACACCAGTACAAGCTTGTGGTTCCAGGTCTGAAGCGAGTTCCCCATCCCCCGTGCTTCGGACGTCGAGCGGTAAATGTCTGGAACATTTTGCCGGAGCATATAGTAAAAGTAAACGCAGTGCAGCATCGTGAAAGATTGTTGGATGTACACTACTTCAGTGTTTGATCCCGATAATGACTACCCACTGATAACGATATGTCATGTATGTGAAGTATACGTATTCTGCGACATCACTTGAGAAGCTGAACAACGATGAGTATTGACAGACCATATATAGTTTTTGTTCTACTTATGTTTGGATAATATTTCGATAGAGCTGCTTGCTCACATAATACAGTATTCAGACAAGGATAGTGCACGGGAGTAGTGGTGTGGAGATCATAGAACAGACGAAAACTTCACAAACATTTCGATTACAAACAGGTGGGATCATCTGAACCAATGACAATCCCCTAATAAAATGATACGTTAAGGATAGGCTATTCAAGCATTTGGTGAAGCGTAGAAATACAGCCAATATGCACCATGCCCGGAAAGAAGAAAGCCCGATGTTCTCAATATCTTGGAACATATTTGGAACCGATCGGGAAGACATCATTTCAGAAAACTTGGTAAACGACCGGTTAATGTATTTATGAGGATACACAACGTTTCGTGCTCTGTGCACGGAGGAAGAAGATAAGAAAGCAGCGCAGAGGGAAGCGATGAAAAACTTAATAGCTAGCGGATATCCGAAACGATTAGTGAAACGACAGCTACAGAAATGTCTCAACCCACGCGCAACTCCAACCGCAGAGTGGATAGCGACAGTGGGTATTCCGTATAAAGAAGGAACCTCGGAAGCGATTCGGAGAGTACTGAATAAGGAGAAGATAAGGGTAGTTTTCCAGAAGGGTCGAACTCTACGGTCCACACTTGTGCACCTAAAGGATACACTCCCTTTAGATAGAACAACTAACTGTATTTACAAAATTCCATGTAAAGATTGTACACAAGTGTATATAGGACAAACAGCGAGGGAATTACGTACAAGGATTTCAGAACATAGGCGACACATATCACGACCTCCGCGAAATGAGCTAGAGTATGGAGCTCTACTCAGAGATTCAGCAATAGCAATGCATGCGCTAGACACGGGACATAAAATTGACTTCGAAAATGTGGAGGTAATCAGGAGGGGATTACGATCAGCCAAACAAAGGCTGATTGCTGAGGCTATAGAAATAACCAAGGCTAACAACTGCGTGAATAGAATAGACGGAGTAGGGCTGTCCAGTGCCTGGCGTCCAGTCTTACTCCGGCCAGCTTTGTAAGCATCGGCGGATGGATCCCAAGTCGGAATGAACTATCGGCCCACCCTCCACCAAACTCCGAAGTACTAAAGCCAAATTCTATCGGTGTCCAAGTTCCCTGCAACGGTTCAATTAAGATTGTTAACCACAATGCAATTATCCACGGACCGGCAATTTCTTTCCCCCATTTGACCCTGACTGAAACAAACTACAGTGTACCCGCGAACATATTGACCTTTGACCGCTGTTATCATTCATAGATGAACTGCAAATTGATTCGTCTTTGTATGTAGTTTAGCCATGATCGCTATATAATGACAATGTTTAGATAATTCACTTCGCCTGATGAAGCATTTGTGTCAAATGCGAAACGTTGTGTATCCTCATAAATACATTAACCGGTCGTTTACCATGTTTTCTGAAATGAAAAGCCCGATGTTCACTGATAAAATTTACATCAGGACCCATGAGCTAGCGCAGCGAGATACTTGATGGCTATTTGAAGACAATTGGATGTAATAGCGGCCAGATAATTTTCACGAATCTACTTCGGCCGATAAACATGAGAATAATAGTCATCAACCGTGGGACTTTGAACGAAGTGGTCGGATCCGTTACTAGTGAGTTGTTGACGACCGGTAGCAACGGCAAAAGAAGGGAAACAGGAACATCCGTTTCGTTTCGCTTCAGCAGCTGAAATTCGTATCGGAGATGGTCAGTCATAGTGGTTGTTACTTCAACGTCCCAGACGGGTCCAAGAGATTCAGCTGCCGATTTTGATACATAGGCCGATAAAATTATTAACCACGATACTCAGTCAAGTGTCCAAGCCGAAAGAAATGAGAGTCAATCAATTGCCTGGTTTATCCACACGTCGTCTAATTTATGGAATCCACTAATGGACCAATGTACGAAGTGAGTTGGAACAGTGCACTGCAGTTCTTAACAGCATTGGCTGCTTACATTCTATGGGATATCGCTATCATTGGTTCAGGTCACTCGTGAGAGTCCTAGTTAGAGGTCATCAAGGAGGTGAGAAGCACTGCGAATGACGACTTAGTGTAAACATATTCCGCGTTCAGCATAAGTTAACCGTATAATCAGATGCCCAAGCACGGTGGATGAGCGACTTCGAATGCCTATCGTACGGTACTTCCAAACTTATTCCAATCCGAAAACGGTCTAATCACCTCACTCTTTGATAACAACTAGCTTTGCGACATAGAATTATCGTTAATACGCGGAATGAGAAGGCAATCAACGAACAGACAACGCAATAGGACAGGTAACCCAAGACAGAAGAGTGAGCGTAACTCGCATGAACTCGAGAGCATGAGCGAAATCGAAGTAAGTAATATCCATCGATTGTGCTGTACTGACAGGCACATGCGATTAATGGCGGCGGAGTCAGTTTTAAATAGTGACAGTGTTGTTCACTCGGGGCTGTGCAAGATAACACTTATGCTTGTAACGAAAGTTGGTGCCACTGAGCACGAGAAAGCAACCGGTGCGCACTAGAATAAACTAGCCACCGCTATCATTGTGATAAGTGTCAACCTAGAAATGGATCAAGAAGACAGAAGTCCTGATTCCGACAAGCGATCCAATTAAGAATTCGTGTCACTCACACCGACCACGATATCTGTACCCCCGGTCATTTCAATCGGAATACAGACGGTTGGAGTGCAAGCCGAGAATAACAAAAGACGCTTTTCGGTTAGCATCAGCCTCAATAAGGGCTTGAAGTCGAATCGGACAGATGACGGTGTACAATGGGACCCATTCCGAGAAAATAGTTGCAACACGTCTACTCAGAACGGTTCTAGCAATCTGGAGCTATAATTTCATCTTCAATAGAGACACAAATTGCACAGGCCACTTTATAGAGACTTGAGTCTGGTATGCGCATTGACAGAAGGACGCTGTTCGCCCATATGCAAACTCCGTAGATAAAGTGCACTCGGGACAAAGCGTTGCCTGTTCAGCGATCAAGCACGATGTAAGAACAGTGAGTTATCAGAGATGAAATGGGGCTACAGAATTGAGAGATGACAGATAATTTTCCTGAATTGTTGGCTTCAACCTCTGAAACGGCGAAAAAGCTTAGTCCGTGATAAGCTTTCTCAGGCAGATCCAGCCGGAATGGTCTAACCGATAGGAGTAACAGAGTACTTTAGGCCAAATCATGGTCCAACACAAGAGTGGGCATCGGAACCTCAACAAGGAATAATTGCCCCGAAACGCGGATGCGATGAAACGAGTTTCTGGTTAGTGTGGTTGGAAGGCTTAATGGTGGCAGGCTGTTGAGTAAGTGAAGAGGCTGGAAATTTAAGGAAAGTATAAGGAAAAAGATGACGAGTGACAGACTCATGCAAGTAGTTTATGCGTTACAGCTTAATAGCTCAAGAGTGGAGTTACACCCAATATTTCCCACAGCTGGTCTCTGATCCAAGAGCCAGATTCCTGAAGTAGTGAGAAAAGATTCATCTTAGGGGATTGATGCGGATCGGTTGAGCTGGAAGCTAGACTTACAAACCAGTGAGTAGATTTGACTAGGTAAGTGATATATGAGTCCTATGAGGACCTCGCTGAGGATGATCACACGCAGCATTAAAAGATCAGACACAATGTTTCCCAGTGGTAGATAACGCAAGCGTGACCATGACTAGGTAAAGGTGGAGTTTTGTGGGTTTGCACCGCAGTGGTCCGCAGTAAAGACGTCAGAAGCGTTTGTACTTTCCAACCGTCAGAGTAAAGATCAGCGACTATAAATTGCCTCCTTGAGTTGTCAGCAGTACGCCGGTACGCAGTACCGCTTCGCTGCAGGGCAACCACCACCAGTAGTATGTGGTCTAAGGAAACTGCGAGGGTCGCCCGGACTCTACGCAGGATCGAACCCGAGGCCTCGGAATACAAGGCAGTCATGTGATCCTTAAGGCTACAGGAAGGCAAATTACTTTCTACTACGGTTGAAAGATGGAGAGGAGGACAAGTGACCTCAACCCGACCTTTAAAAGGAAGTTAAGGATGTCGAACTTGTAACTCTAGACGTCGACCTATCCAGGATGGGTGGTACTGGAAACACTTGGAGAGTGCCATTCAATGAAGGTCGTGTTGCGGAAGTATGAAGACGATGGTGACGGTGTATCATCACAGAGTGGGAGCGTCATCACAAAGTGACTACGCTAGTGATAAGCGATGGAGAAGGAGCACCTGAGTGAGTACCATAAACATCAAGTTAACAAGTTGTTGAAAAAAACATCTACACGATAGGCTAAGACGTGTAAAGGATCCCGAAACTCACGATATCCTGCACACTGATGCCTGTCGCTGCTCTTAAGTTGGTCCCAGGAGCAGATAGCGCTATGGATGCCCCTGTGTTTGGAGGTGCATGAACACCTGTCTGTTTAAGAGCCATCTGTGGCTGGATACCCGGAGTTGGATGTACAGATCTTGCTGCCTGCGTGAGTGGAGTAGGCATTAACACTGCCGGGTGGGATTCTTGGGGTCCTTTTCCGGTTGGATGTAGTGTGGAATCGGAAACCGAGGGTAAACTGACCTGCGGCTTCGGTACAGGTTTCCGAGGGGAAGGAGGACGTTTGAGGAGGTCAGGATGATAAGAATCACAATGTAAAAGCTCCTTTTTGGCCAAGGAATCCACGACCCAGTCAGGAGAAACAAGCGCTGGATGAATGTCATTTGATTCGCCTTTGCAAATATTGTAAAATTTCTGAAGCAAAAAGGTGTGTACATTGTTAGAGTAAGTTGAGCATAGCCGATAAGCCAAGAACAAAGGAAAATAGCAATGAATCCAAGAGAACCAACGAGTAGCAATTGAATTAGAATGCTAAATCCAAAACTAGTTCCCATACAGAACGTGCGGCCGCGGATGAAGGACTCTAAACGTCACGAAGGCCTACTAGAATGGGGCATACAAGCTCGAGATATTCGCGAATAATTTTAATCAGATTCAATCATGCTAACTGGATCTTACGGCGTGATGTATGACCATAACCCAGGTACTTCCCCACAACATAAAAGCCGGATAAAAAACACTGTAGGCCGACGTCCGGCGTTAAAGGCGGGTGGTGACTCATGATGTGATGGAAGTGCTGTTATAACAGGGTCACAAATGTACCGCTCGAAAAAGTTGACTTTCTTTTAACTAAGGAAATTCTCAGTAAAAAGGAGATATACCTCTAGCAGTAGACAATGGGCGCATCAACCAAATTAAAAGTGAATCGGAATCCAAGTATTGCACGATGACCGACAAGAATGACTACAGTAAATACCGTTGAGACTGCATGACTATTTAGGTGTTAGGTTGCACTGAGAACAATACACAAAGATGGGACATTCATGAGGGTATACAGCCGCAGCTTGAGTGGAACGAGTGATCAAAGTGAACTGAGTGCACCAGTGATAATAAGCCACTGCGGTCGATGAAAATTTGAGGAGTAAGTTCGCGGGAGTACATACACTATTAGTTCTTAAAATTGCCGAACACCTTACAGTAGGAGAATTAGAAGCAAATGAGACGAAAAATTCCCCATTTGGATAAGAGAAAGCATGAAAAACCTTTCAGGAAGAATGCAACATTGATTTTTCCACATGGTATCGGTATGAGAAATGTGTAGCGCAGTTCAGTCGCATGCCTCATAGCAAAAGGAAAAGAGGATACGAACGCAAACCACAACTTATCTCCACTATATAACTTCTCCACACCGTTCCGCAAAACCTCAGCCATGAATTGTGGCCTGGTTAACAAGCCCCTGACCTATGTGACCCGCTCATAGTTTCTATCAGTAAAACTGATCAGAATCAGCATCAGTATACGTTAAAAGGTGAAAAACACACTTCAGCTAACTGCCCTGCAACACAGATGAAGTTATATGAAGTGCGAGATACGAAACAGTACAAAATAAAAAAGGAAAAACCAAGTAATATAAAGGATAATTGTCATATTATCCAAGGAGAGTGAGATCGTTGTTAGAGGGGGATAAGCCGGAAGAGGAGGGACAAAGTAATTCACAACACAAACGCCACTGATGTCCGCTCTTCGCCATGGCAACAAGTGTATCCAACCAAACGTGTTCATCGTCTTTCGGACCCAGCCGGGCAGTCGGGAGACACCAACCTACACCAAGTTCGTAGTGAGGGGATTCATTCCTGTTGACCAAGTCATCGCTCAGCATCCCCTCTTCTTCTATCCATATCCCCGGCACGCAAACAACGTACGACGCTGGAGTCGGTGGGCTAGCATGCGCAATAGGTGGCTCAGCCATTGAAGGCTGCTGCGTTGAGTAACGGTGCTGAGCGTTTTACTTGTTATTTCTGTAACACACACGAGGCGCCGGAAAGGTCCATAGCTCACGCGGTGTTGCCACCAGATGTGAGCCAAACTGCGAAGACAACGATAGTCGAGCGCAACGGGTCTTCTTACATCTGTTGATCAGACAGCAAAGATTTCGTAACCGTAAATTCAGTAAAACTGTACTTCACTGCGGCTACGTTAGTGATCTATGTGCCCACTGATTAATAAGTATCATCGCAAATAGCACCATATGGGCATCTCCAACACATGCTTCGTTGTCATATAACTAGAAAAGACTATCAATGAAGCAGGGAAAATAAGAGCAGTTACAAGCAAGGGAAGCACATCAAATTAATTGACTAAGCACTCAAGAACGGCAAATTACAGTGTAAAGGTGGTATCAGAGACAGCCTCCTGAAAGGTAACTGGGATCAGCGGTTTAACCAACCTTACTTTACGAAGGAAACAGAACGATACAAAATTCTACAGCCAGTCCAAGAAGAGGAAGAGTAGACATGTCACTGATATCCGTTACGAGTCATGCTATGTAATATCTCGAACCAAGTCTCCAAGGGATGGATCAACAACACAACCCAGTGACTATTTTGAAGACGCAACGATAGGCGGACAAGTTGTTTACTGAAGAACGCCTGTCTGGTTAACATAATAACTCGAACATACGAAGGCGAGTCCAATTTGCGCATGATATTCGCGGCACCTTTCCGGAGCGACGCGTCATTGCAACCTTTCATTCACCGAGCATTTGTCTAGATTGCCCTGTGCCCCTCGTGTATGTCGTCCGGTTGATTTTCCACCACATCTTCGTCTGCCGGCGTCTCATGATTTACCTGTTTCCCTTGTTCGCTCTCGTGGATATTCATACTCCTCAAAAGTACAGCACCACAACGATAGCCACTAATAAAGATTACCCTCATCCGAAAAACCAAACGAGATCTTCTCAGCATGCGGTGGTCGGCCCTATGTAGCCTTTAGCAAAACCAAGACTGGTTATTTGGACCAATCTGTCGAGCTAATGAATCGAGCTAGCCATCCCTATTCGTCGATTGTCGGCATACCTAAACGTTTAAGACATGGTAATGCCAGCGAATTCGAGCAGCACTCCGTAAGTAACGACTGTGAATGTTCTGAGGGGATCTGAGAGAAGCATTCACTGTGACACATATACAGATATTCCCTGCGAGAGTCAGACAGGACGCATATTCACGAAAACAGTGCTAGCTTTAGTAATATGTGAGCTAACTTCGTCCGTTACTAGTTCACGGGTAAAAATGTGGTTACAAAGATGAGAACTTAATCAGCTATCACAAAATCGTTTGTCCAGGAACAAGAAACTATTAGGCGGTTCATCAAGTGAAGCGCGTGACGAGGCATGCGACTATTACAGAAAGACCATTCAAAGTTGACTGTTTGGCCTCGCGACTGTCAAGCATTAAGGTGATGACTGCATTATCCAGATCCATCAGTTTTTCCCACTAGGGAACTTAACAGTTGCTTCGTGAGACTTGAAAGTAACATTTCACAAATGAATATATGACTACGTTAGACAGATGTGCAGAAAGGAGACAACGCTGACGATCGACACTTGTTATCTGGATGGTGCCTGATTAATCGCCGTAGGTATGATGTAGCCTGAGGGGTTCGAGCACAAGTTATGTAAAATGTGGATATACTTCATGGGAGTAACTTTCTGATTAAACATGTTGAAGAGAAGGGGTGGTCCACTGAGTCGAATGCGCTTTTTTGAATCGAGAGGCAAAACAACTGTAGCCCCGTGGAACGCACGACCGCGATTTGCTGTCAGCTACAGAGTAACATTTTGAAGTGCGATATAGAAGCAAATATTGGCAGCCCAGGTTGTTCAGCAGGGGGTCTGATTGTTCGCGGAGCTCGACAGTTTGGCAGCAAACGTTTCGTCACCACTTGAGGTGACATCGTCAGTGCGCTTATATGTAGCGCAGATGCGCGTCACTGACGCTTCGTACCGTGCAGCTCCGCTACATACACGCGCACTGACGATGTCACCTCGAGTAGTGACGAAACGTTTGTAACCAAACTGTCGAGCTCAGCGAACAATCAGACCACCAACATTTTGAACTGTATAAATATGTCAATCATGAAAACCCGCATGCTTTCTTATCGCAATAAAATATCGTGCGCAGCAAAGAGACGGAGGACAACGGCGGATTCCGATTGGGTCACTGCCTGTATCAGGTTGATGCTCCAAAAATAAGTACAGAAATTGCGACCACCTTTTTAATAGTTCCAATGTGATCAATTTGCATCGGCTCATTGTCTCTCTTCCAAAGCTCCACCAAGCGAGTTGGTTAGTGGCAGAGAGCCTCATCACTATCCGTAGATATCAAATACTCGAGAAAATGTGGACCGGTAGGGTAGAAACAACTAACGGATATAAACGCATTTTAAAGCATAGCTTAAGTCGAAGAGATATAACAGAAGACCAATATGTGTCACCCAAGAAAGATGCAGCTCATATGCGAGAGACAAAATGAACTGCTTGTCAGCGCCATGCCCGACAAACAAACACTATTCCTAATGGTGGACAAAATTACTGATGTTGTTCCTGACTAACTTCCTGAGGGATGGTTTCCAGTGACCACTGTCATGGATAAGCTATAAGCCTGCAGTAAGCGCTCAGCGTTGCAGCCTCGTAGATGGTTGAACCCTTTTGGACAATCAGACTTACTTTTCAGCCCACAGACTACATGGCAGTACGCTCGCAAGTCCGTGTGGTCGTGTTGCGCTCAACAACCGCAAAAGCTCTTTTCTTTAAACTTTAGCAAGCCCAATGTTGTCCGTGATGACGCATAGTGCAGAAAACAGAAGCCCCCGTGCCGTGATTAGTAGCAGAAAGTCCATTCCCCCGAAGCTTAATTTCTCCGGAAAAATCGGGCGAGAGCTCAGTAAGAAGTGTAGGTTGAAACAGTTGTTCGACAACCAATCGGGAAAATGGCATGTAGCTCTTCCCCCCCCCCCCAGAAAATTACAAAGAAGAAGGCAGCGTAGTAATGTCTGCTCAGAGCCGATGCATACGCGCTAAAGCGTGTGGCAAGCATAAACAGAATCGAGTCAAAGTGGAGTTTATCGCGATATGGTCTACTTAACCGTATCGATGGCCAGTAGCCAGAAGACACCAAGTTTTCCACTGGTATCCACTGCTGCATGAAAACTGGGAACATTTGCCGTAAAAACATGCTATTGTACATTATCTCGGGACTAAAACCGAACACTGAACCTAAATATACTAAAAAATTTAAACGACGTGATCGTGCATTCGCAGCTGGTAGTAGTATTGTGTGATATGGTGCTATGTCCGTGGCAGAGAACAAGTCTGGTAACATCGGAACTGCTGTCGGTTGAAGTATTGGAAGTACACA